TGGCAAGAAGCCCCATCTTTGTATGTGAAGGGACGGGCGCGGGACATTTGTATAGTCATAGAAGGAAACCTATGGTACGTTTTAGCAATGTCATTTAGGGACTAGATCGTTTACCAAAGGCAACATCGAGGGTCATCGAGGGACTATAATCTTTTATCGAGGTTCTTTGCTCAAACGCCCATGTTCGAGGGACATGACTATTTTCCGAGGTATGATAGGCAACAAATGAGATTACCCTAAGGGGTGCATGTGTGAAAAGTGTATTTGATTACATGCATTCAGTCTTGATTAGGGTTATCTATTTGTCGATTTCATGTCTTGCCATACACACCCTAATTACTAGTATTTATATTTGAAAGCGATAAATTGCGGAAATGTAAAGTCCTACGCTATTACATCATTTAGGGATGGGGGTACAAAATTACAAATGGGGGTTGCAAGAATTTAAATCCTATTTAGCTATTACAACCATATTGAAATGTACAATATAAGAAAAGGAAAAGACTTGTTTTTTAAAAATGATTTTTTTGTCTTTATTAAATTAAGAAAAAGAAATAAATTAATTAATAAAGAGAAAATATTTTTATGTATTTTTTATATTAATAAGAAGGGTATTAATATTTAAAATGATAAAAGAAAAGGGAAATAATGAGAGATATAATTAGCATGCTGCTGAAAGCAAAACAAAGGGGATCAGAAGTTCTGATGTCGGGCGCGCTATGGTTCAGAAAGAAGCGTCAGAAGTTATAGATTGATACACTCTGAGATCCTGCAAGAAACATTAGAGGGAAAACACAGAAGTTCTGGGTTGCTATGTGCTGAACTTCTAAGTGTTAGAACAGTGAGAAAGTCTTAGAAGTTATGTGTATTAAAAAAATAAAGAGAACTCAAAAGTTCAGTATGTGCTAAAACAGTGAGTGAACATCAGAAGTTCAGTGTGTTTAAATAGTGAGAAAATCATAGAAGTTATGTGTGTTAAAATAGTGAGGAGAACTCAGAAGTTTTGTGTTGTGCTAAAACCGTGAGTGAAAATCATAAGTTCTGTGCTACACTTCAACTCTTTCCTCATATTAATCAGCACATCAGCAATTTATTCAGTTCTTAATAAACAGAAAATCAGAAGGATAAAAGCACAACAATTTATAGAAGTTCTAATCCTAATTCTGAGCCTAGCCTTAATCAAGAAGTTCTTATCCATAGTTTTTCTACTTATGCAATGATATGGACAACATTAATATTATGATATTTACATATTTAATGATGTTCTGAATGAAAAGAGAAAAGTCATAAAGACTTACCTTGAATCTGGAGCATGTGCTTGGAACTTGAACTGCTTGTAATGTTCAGATCAGCTTCCTCATGTGCTCAGCAGGCTGGAATAACCTTTATCTTGGGCTATGAATGGATGGAAAATTCTGGAACAGTCAAGAAGTAAAGTTTTGACTTTTTTAGAATGTGTTACGGTCTAAAAACAGGAGTTAGGATGGTTTCTAAATGTATATCATAAACTGTATGGATGGTTTGGTCAAGAAACACTTGAGGAAAATGGGAGTTTAAATGCAAGAATAAAAAACTAGCAGGTTTTGTATTTGTGTTTGCAGTTTCGGATTTCTGGAAATTTTATCAAGGTTTCAAGGCTTTTTCTTTTCAATTTTCTGACCCCTTTACAGTTTCCAATGAAGTTCAATTTATAGGCAAGAACTTTGTAGCTTGGAGAAGTCAAAAGTACCACCATCATTGCTAGCGTGCTGGCTTGTTCTTGAAGCAAGTTAAACAAGTATGGTGGTTAGCAGCTTTTAGCCGTGCCTAAGATGGAATTGTAATCATGAATTAAGGAAAAGTACCCTCAGAAGCAAAAGAAAATCATGGGCCCAACATACTCTTTGTACAAAAGTTTGCTTTTCAAGGACAACAATGGTACTTCTATTTCACACGTGGGGAAATCCTTTGGATAAAAACTCAAAAGTGGTTGTGAGCATTAAATGATGATGAGATTTATCAAACCAGAAAGCCTGATCTATGATATTGTGCATCATAGCTTAATTTTGGGCCAGAAGTTCAGCATCAGCGCAACTTAGAACAAACATCTAACTTCTGATCCTTGAATCCATTTGCTCCAGCATGTTCTGTAGGAGTTCTCAGACTTTCCCAAAAGCTTGTAACACGCTTTGTAAATCCTCTTTCAATTGCTCTTGCAAATTCTGACTGGACCTATATGAAAACTGGCCCAGAAGTTCTAACCAAATCCTGTTTTGGAAAGGTCCAAAATTTGTTGAAAGCTTCAGTTTCATGGACGTGTCTTCAAGGATTTGTAGCTTGAAATCCCAACATTTCTAGGAGAAATTTTGTTCTGCAATGTTTGAGATCTCATTGAGATCCACAACTCTTGTATTAGAAGTTCTTCCAGAATCAGCTTGCATCATGGTGATAATCTGATCAGAAGTTCTGAGCTTGTCATATTTCTTAAACACTTAGAAAAATTCTAAGTATTTAGAATTTTGACTTTTTTTTCAAAATAAATCTTGACTTCTGAATTTCTTGATGAAACAAACTTCATATTTCAACATGTCTTGATGAAACTTGATTTTTGATCCAAAAGTCAAAGTTTGACTTTTTAGTGTGTAAAATGACCATTTTCCCTTGTGAATGACTTTCTTGGAAAATTTGTAATTCAAGGCTTGAATTTGGATGGAAGTAAACCTGAGGGTCCAGGATGATCCTTTGAGAAATGAGAGGGCAGATTTTGGGGTACAACACCCGTGTTCTTTTATTTTGTTGTAACATATGTTGATTTATCTATGTAAGGGCTTATGACCCATAACTTTTTGTGCACTTATGTGTTGATGCTTGTAATTCTCAAGAATTACTTGTTTCTAACTGTTCTTTTATGCTTTCATCTGTTGTTTATGCTTGTATGCTCGTGTGCTTCCAATTATTTTTACATTTACTTTATTTTTTGTCAATTTTGGTTAAAAAAGGGGGAGTAAAGTGTTAGTAAGTATTTTTTTGAAAGGTTTTTTGTCCTGATGTTGATGTCATGTCAAATGTTTTGACATGTTGATTAACATTATGATAGGATTGTACTACTGCTTAGGAAGAATAGTCTTTGTTGTTGCTTTCTATGTATGCAATTGTTTAGAGGGGCATGATTGTCTGTCATGCTTATTGCTGGTGCTTGAGGATATTTTCTTCTGCTGCTACTAATGCTGATGTGTGCATGATATCATACCAGATGTTCTGATAACTTGCCTGAAGTGCTTTTGTTAAAAAATTTGTGCAACAAATGTTTTCTATTTGTGAGGCTTATTTTTTATCTTATGTTGCATGTGCCTTTGTTGTGTGAACTTGGATAGTTCCTTAGTTTGTTTGTATGTTCCCTTGAGGGGGAGTATTGGTTATGTGTGACACGGGGAGTAATGGGCGTGTATGAAGTTGTTTAGCATTATGCTATGGTGTTGAGGTTCGTGTGTTGTGGTGAAGTTGTTGGGTTGTGTTGATGTGATATAATACTAAATGGGGGAGACTGTCAGGTATCAACAATTTTGGTAAAACATGTTTAATTTGGAAAAACATGTATCACGGTCTAATGTTAAGCAAGATGCCATGACATCTTGACCAACTGTCATGACAGGTTCTACTGTCATGAATCTCAGACAGATGTTGAGCCATATGTCGTGACATCTTGGCCAACTGTACAATAGGTACTGCTGTTATTTTCTTGGCATATTTGATTTGTTTTTGTGATATCCTCTTGGATATATCTCACTTGTTTTTGCATGTCAAGAAGATTTTATTAGGAACAACGCATACTTGATTTGGTTTCATAAAAAGGATCTTGAAGACTTTTTAGGAAACTTAGAAGATTTGTTCCTATTTTTATGGAGAAGATCTTGCATCTGATTTACAATTGGAATATTGGATTTGATTGAAGATTCCAAGCCCATATTGCAAAATTCTATATATAAGGACTTTTTAAACCTAAAATTAGCAATAATTCACATCAAGAAATTGTGTATGGTTGAAATAAGGGTTTAGGGTTTTTAGAGTACTTTAGGTACTTTGTTTGTTTTTGTATGTCACATATGTATCTTCTGATATATTGAGGTAGACTCATTGTTCATTGTTACTTGCCAATAACTCATGAACTTTTAAGCAAATAGTAGATTATGTGTCAATTTATTTTTCTTAGTTAAAAGCTTTTTAGAAAAACTAAGTATTGTAATTGGAAGTGTGTTCTTCTGTTTTTATTATTGTCACTGAGGTAATTGTGGAATGTGAGAAGGGAATATCATATCTAGAAGGTTTCTAGGTATAAGTAGCACAAGATAGTGATTAGGAGATAAGTTGTAAACTAGGGTTGTTTAGCTTTGAACTAATACTATCATAGTGGATTTTCCTTCATGGCTTGGATGCCTCTAGAGTAGATGAGTTGCATCGAACTGATTTAACAATTGATTGTGTCTTTTACCTTTTGCAATTTACTTCTGCATAATTAATTGTTTTGGTAAAAGTATTATGTCAGCAGATGGTGTCTTAACATTTGTCTTGACATTGTGTTTTGGTGTTGAGACATCAGTTTTGACATTTGTTTTAAAGTGCCAAAATTTTAAGTCTACTAGAATGACCACCTAGTCAAGGGGCAATCCTACTTCTATGGGAGCATTTCCCAATTTTTCCGTATGTGAAAAATAGATACATCCCTTAGTAATTATCGGTTCATCCAATTATACTGATTCACATCAATCGACTCTAAAGAGTTAAGACCTGCTTGACCCTCAGTCAGCGGGCAACGCCAACCAAACACATTTGTTAGATTTAGAATTTTAATTTGAATGTGAATATTGGCCTCGTTAGGATCACAACCTTGTGTACTTCTATATGAATTAATAAAATGTTAAAGTATCTGGTCATCTCAGATGGTAATCTCTGCAGAAGATAAAGAATTGGCAGAGGGGGGAGTCACCAATAACCCCCTAGGAAGCAGAAATGATATTTTCAAGTCAAATATCACCAATAGATTTTCCACCTCTCTCACCAAAGAAAAGGCTAGAAGACTCATCAAAAAAATCCTCTCCAGAAATAGATTTATTAGAAGCATCATTAGACTCGGAGCTATCAGAGATAACCTTTGGACCTAAATCAAGGTGAATATGCATCGAAGAAGTAATATTCGAATCATTTAGGGTTTCTACATGCACAAATGAAGAAAGATCATCGTTGGCAGAACTACATCCTAAATTAGAAATTTGATCATTCGTATATGACATTGCAAAGATAAGGAGATAAAAACCATAAAGTGGGAATCAAAGGTTAGAGATGGTACCTAGAAATAAAGGTGAATCAAAGAGGCGAGAGCAAGCAGATGAGAGTGAAAGGTTGAGGAAGACTCAAAGAACATAGTGCTCCAATAGGAAAAATGGGCACCATAATCAAGGATTGTCAGAAGAATAAAAAATGATTTCTCAAAAGCCAATTATTCTTTAATTAATAATGAGTGTGAAAGTTCATTTAGAGAGTTAAATGACCCATATATAGGAAAGGGTGGACTAAGAGAGCAACAATCTAATTGAAAAGGAAATGGAAAGACGAAAAGCAACGGTCATACCGCACCTCAGAAATACCATAACACTCAAGTGCACAAAATCACCCTATGGGAAGTGCCACATATAACCTACTAGCCTAGGGCCAATTGTTGTTAAATTAACATGAAGTGTCTCAGTGATGAGAAAGGAATTGAATGCTTATGTTCCCCCCTCCTTGTTGGTCGTACACATCAATTCTCATCCACGGTCAACTCGGCATTATAAGGTTTGCATAGATTCTAGAAGACTTCTCGTTCAACACTTCAAAATAAGCCTAGCGAGAAATGGTTTTGGACTGCCCAAACGTTGATAAAAGGAGGCTCACTTACTTCTATAAAGAAAGCCCAATAATGACTATTTGATCCAGGGTATAAATACTTCTACACATGTATGACCTAAGACACACGCATTTTTCATACTTCACTCTACCCCTCTCTTGGACCCACTAATTGACTTGAGTGTTAGATTGCTAACTTTTCAGGTTCATCCTCGTGTTCTGCCGCATCAGAGGCTTGCAACACCGGATCAGGAGTTCATCATTGCAATTCACCCATAATTATGGTTCCGATCCAAAATGTCATGAATAATATATTTCTTAATTTAAAGATTGATTAATATTTAATTATTTAATATTAAATAGATAAAACTAACATTCAACATCTATTTAATCTTGATTTAATTTTTGCTTCAATTTTATTTTCTAATGTATAAAATTCATTAAAATTATTGTAAAATACTTAATGATATGTTAGTCTTTACTTTGAAAATACAACAATCAGGTTTTTTTTTTTGTTTATTGCATTCTTACCTAATTTGAAGTTCTTATAGTATTTATAGTGGCAAATATTTGATTGCATAAGAAATATAAAATTGTATAAGATATTTTACAGCTTAATTTAAAATTTAAATTATTTTTTAGTTTAATTAAAAAATATCTTTTATCTTTTTAAATGTCAATGATGTTTAAATTTGAAAATCATGGAGACACAATGGTTTTACACTTTTTTTGTCATTCTAGTTTACATGTTATCGAGGCAGGTTTATTCCATACCAACACAAAATATTTTGATCAAAAATTAATGTTTTAAAAAAAATCAATAATTTTTTATTAAAAAATAATTTGTTAAAATTTTAAATTAAAATTGAGTCAAAAAAACTTTAATTTAAAAAATCTCTAACTTTCCAAAAATAATAATCTAAAATTACCCTAGACTAAAAAAATGTAAAAGAAAAAAAAAACACAGTGACTAAGCATCATAAATGATTAAACACAATTTGTATTGTAGAATAATGTTTAGTTTAAGTTAGAGAGAAGAGGCAAGTCAATATGGGTAACAGGGTGTTTGGCTTTTATGCTGAAGTGGCAGGAAGGAGGAATACAAAGAGTGAAACTGATAAAAAGGTTTTGTTGCAGTTTGTATCGAGTGCAGAAGATAGGATGAGGTTCATCAAGGCTTTTGTTGAGGAGGTGTTTATCCCGATCTCAGCATACAATATTTAGACGAGTTTTAAGATTAAAGGTTTTTTCGGTGAAAATAACACCTATGGGTGCGAATTTTTGTTTGTTAGAGGAAACATAAGTTGGTGTAATCAATGACTTGATTAGAGAGGGAGAGACTTGGTGGACGCAATGGTTCAGGGGAGATCAGAGAGCAGAAAGAGGAAGATATGAATAACAACATGGTGATGTTGATTCATGTTTATGAAGTGCCTATTCACGCTTGGAATGGAGATTTTTTCGTCGCTCTTGGGAACACTTTGGGCTCTTTTGTTTGTGTTGACGAGAATACACCAAGTAGGACCAACTTTGATATTGCTAGAATAATAGTTAGGTCTCCTTTTTCTTTCTATTTGATGGAGTCTTTGGAAGTTGTTATAGATGGTAAGGTGTTTTGCCTTGTGTTGCAAGAATATTCTTTTGGTCCGATTAGGGTGGGGATGGTGAATAACAAGAAGTTGGGTGATGTGTCTAATTATTCTTCTTCGAAGAAATCTTGGTCTGAAATATTATTGAGGGGAAAAAGGGAAAGTGATATAGATAGTATAGAGGAGTTTTTGTCTCAAGCAAAGGAGAGGTTTTCATGAGGTAGATCGGATGATTTGCAGTTCAACAGAAGGTCCGGAAATGTAGAAGCGGCTTTTTCGGGTGTAGTAGAGGATAAATCGTTTAAATGTAGAAGTGGCTAAACTGATTTGGAAGGAACTTTGTGAATGAGTTGGGCAAAATAAGTTTATGGAGGATGATTTAAAAGGGAGTTTTATATGGTGGTATGATTTTAGCAAAGTTAAGAAGATGAGAAGGGGAAAGGAAGGAGTTATATTAATGGCTATTTTTTGGAACATTTGGAAGTTAAGGAATGAAGTCATTTTTCAAAATGATGGATGGAATGTGCTTGATATCGTTTGGGATATAAAAGCTATGATTTGGAAATGGTCCTTTATAGGGGAAATTTCTTATCCCAATTGTAATTACTACGAGTTTTGTAAAAATCATAAGTTTTACATGTCATAGATTTTAACTGGTTTGTAATTTCTCTGTTTTGTCATGGCCTCTGTCTGGGGTATTTTTGTAATCCTGTTAGAGAACCCTTAGTTCTCTTTATCAATTTATAACTTGCTTACAAAAAAACTGTATTGTTTTTTTAAAGAAAAAGAAAAACAAATTTTATTACATTATTTTGTTGGAAGTTAGAATATTCTAAACTTGCCAATAGTGTGGGAATAGACAAAGCCGGTCTACAGGGGTCTATAGCCTGGCCTACTTAAGGTCAGGTCAGACCAAACTTTTTAATAAAAAAGGCATGCTTAAGCTTTTTTAAAAGCCTATTTAGTTAAATAGGCTAAACTTAGGCTATTAAAAAAGCCTATGAAGCCTTATAAGTCGGCTTGTATATATATAGGCCAACCAATAAGGTTTTTTAAGTAATACAGGTTAATTGAAAATCTTAAGAAGAAAAAGGCTTTTAAATAGGCTTTCAGGTCAGTCCAGACTTTTAAAAAGGCCAGGTCAGGCAAAAAAAGAGAGCCTATAATAGGTCATAGGCCAAATCATACTTTTTATATTTATCGTAGGCCACACTCAGGCCTTCTAAAGCCTAGAATAGCCTAGGATATTTCCACCCCTACTTGGCAGGACAAAACGATAGTGTTCTAAGAGTACTGAACACTTTACAATGACTAAACTTTGACTCATTTGAATTGTGAAATTTTCCAAACCCTAGCTAAGTTTCATCATCTCCACAAAATTTAACCAACCTCAATCTCCTCCTTTTTCATCAATTTATCTTCTTAATTTTCACTCATCGAGTCTTCATTAAGTTCATCTCTCACAAAATCCTAATTTACAAAAAATATATGTAAACAGATATCACAGAGTGATGTTCTTACCCAACTATTTCTACTTCTTCTTCTTCTTCAATCAGTGGATTTCTTGATTCTAGATCGAGGTAAATTCTACTTAATTCAGAATTAGTGTTAGTTGCTTTGGTTCTTTCCATTTTTAGACTTCAATTTTAGGGTTTTTACAAAGTTGTGAATTTTTACATTTGAATTTGTTGTGTTATATATATATATATATATATATATATATATATATATATATATATATATATATATATATATATATATATATATATATATATATATATATATATATATATATATATATATATATATATATATATATATATATATATATATATATATATATATATATATATATATATATATATATATATATATATATATATATATATACCATTTGATTTGTGATTGAGATTAGTACTTAAAGTTTAGATTTTTTTGTTTAGGTTTTGAAAGTTTTGTTTTATTGTTTGTTCTTTTTTGTTAATTAGCTTTGGATAGTGATGTCTGTGAATAATAATAATCCTTCCAAAGGTATTAGTGGCTCTTCATCATCCTTTCGAACAATAATAATCCTATGGAGAAAAATCTTCATGATAATCTCCATCATTAGGTAAACCTCTTGATTAGAGATCTTCGTTGACTTCTCAAACACCGCTTGACATAAGGTATTGTCTCCATAAATAGGCGCATATAATTTGACCTCCAAGCATAACAATCTTAATTACCACAATTGGATCAACACACCTTGATCAATCACAACTTAAAGACTAACCCACATATATTTCGGATGTATTTTTACAAAAATAAAAACAATTTAAAATCATAAAAAGGCATCACATCTTCATGTAAACACCATACCAAATATAGTCCTGCTCCGTAACATGGGTTTCAAAATTATCTAAGACAAAATACTTCATAGATACAATTAATAGACATATTCATACTTTTTGCAGGGGAATTCATAGTTCAAAAACATCTTATTATAATACTTCGTAAAACTTCATCATACTTCATGATTCATAATCAAAATTCAAAACAAACCGAGTACCATGGGAGGTACCCAACATCTTAGAAACAAAACAAAGAACACCAAATTCATAATTTAAACGACCCCAGCCCCGATGTTAAATATCAGAGCAATACTCCTTTTATTCAACGAAAAGAAAATAAACAAACTCTGAAGCTATCCTCTAAGCTTACCTGCACTAATCCTGATCATCTACAAGTTACCCACGGATAGAGGCAACATTTCTAAGCAGAAAGGGTGAGTAAATCATAATCATTATAAAATATATAAGGAATAAATATAGTAGACATGC